TTCCCCCTCAAACCCCCACCATTGAAAATGTCTGAAGAAAAAGAAAAAAAAATCACGCTCAAGTAATAAAAACAGGTCATATCACCTTATTTTGCGACTTAACCATCGAGCTCATCCCACTCCACCTTCGCACCCCTCCCCACACTACCCCACCACTACCCATCACCCATTTCAAGATTCCTAGATACGCCACTGGCTACAGTGTTTGAGCTCCGGGAGAATTTTGTCCATAAACCCAACCCACGAGCTATTCTGGACCCCAATGACACCGCACCTATAACTTGTCCGGACTCTCAAAGGAAACCCCATTAAGAAAAACTGGTTCAGATATAGGCCTAAATGAGGATATGTGCTGTCTCGTCAAATCATATAACAAACTGCTCTGGATGCTAAATTTTCTGTGGGTACTAATACGGAAACACAAATGTAATACTGTATAACGTCGAACTCGTGAGAGAGCAGCCACTATTTAGGAGTCCCTAGGGGACGGGATACACGCAGCTAATTATGCTTATTATTCGTTTTCGAAATATTAATACTTATGCTGGCTTATCTTGATTTATGTCCGCATTTTAATGTAAACATAATGTCCATCATCATGATGTAGTTATTTTCGTAGCTGATAGTAGATATAAAAATCCTGGAATTGAAAATGGATGTGATTCAACAGTTTATTAGCAATTAATCAAACACCACCAAAATGTAAACATGTAGGCCTACATCTTAATACAATATGACTGCATTGTAAACAAACACCGTCATACGAAGCAGTACATTTATACCCTTTCCAAAATCGCCTATAATTAATAAATGTTGTTAATCGTTCCGTCTGTGGGTTAGCATATGCCTTTACTTATCTCCATATCATTATATCAATGAACATATGTACGATTTGAAATATATCGGCAAGGAAGGCAAATACATGCAAGACACGTTTACATTATTTCATGAATTATCTCTGGATAGTAAACATTATGTGATAGTGAATTTTCCCCCAAACCATATTGATTTTAAAGAGCATCCCTAAAAATAAAAGCATATTGAAACATAGTATTGACAAAAAGCAACATGAATATCACTATTATAATGAAATAAAAGTGACATATCAACTTTAAATCAACGTTTACAAAATCACTTTACATTATTGGCGTTTTAAACAGTCATACTGTTCAATAGGCACAGTTATCGTACGTCAAGTAATAATTAAATACAAACTATGAAAAATGGTAATAGGAGTAGGGCCTACGAGAAATGTACACATACGTACTCTTAAATATAATATATTATCAATTGCTTTTTTATTTATTAACAAAATGAAAAACAATACAAATTCAAAACTGAAGATTTTATAATGCAAATATCTGCACATTTTTCTGACCATTTAACGCATTGATCTTTCAGTGTTTCTCAGAACTTTTGGTTTGTACTATTGTAAAATTTAATTCAAGAAATAACAGAAAACATTTTTACATTTTCGCAACTTCAAATGTATAATTTGGTTCCTATTCATAACATTAGATATTCAATTAAATGTATAAATTATTGTAAATAGAACAGTGTACCTGGGTTTATGTATAAATAAAAACGAAACTCATTAAAATCATAATAATTGTTTAAGCAATACAAGGTGCACACGGACAAAATTATATTTGGCTCTGGCATTTTTTCTCGCATAACTTGTGCTCGAAAAACGTGCATACATACCAGTAATAAATTGAGTCAAACATTTCTTTTGTAACCAATTGAAACAATTTCATCTTCAAGGAATCAAACCTGCATTTTTCATTATGTTAACCATTAACCACCAATACCCAAACTGACAAAACCTTTGATTAAATCATATAAAAATGTCAACATTTATAATGTTAACGTATTACAATTGTATATTCAACTGACACAACAATACTGTACAATCTCAAAAAAATCTATTAAGCCAAATTGTTTTTAACACGAAATCTACAATATCGAAGCGACAGTGGCAAAGATGTCAATGAAACATTTCAATCAATTTTGTTTGGTATCAAAAATGGCTACCTAAGCTTATTAACGTTATTTATCTATTATGCCTAAAATGGTCGATTACACACGAATTATAAAGCTGTTAAGTCAATTATATACAACTCAAACCAAACCAGAGAATGAATATTGGTGGCAATCGTCCTTTGTATCTGTCTAACGATTTTTTCCTGCATCTCATATGCCAAAGTTAGTTAAAATAAAACTAAACTGCATATTTTCTAAATTACAGGCCTAGTGGAATATTTGATTTTGAATAATCAATATCAATTGCTTATTTTCACCATCATTTCAGTAGTAAAGTTACTATAAATTTTAGCATTATTGACTGAAATAAATAAACTTGTTTGAGTGGCCGACAATGTGGAATCTGTTTCCCAGGCATTTTTCTGACACTCCACAACACAACCAACCATCGACGTATCGTTTTATAATGTAGGCCTATGTATTGAAAAAATAATATAAAGCACTTAGAGATGCAAGGTCGTTGTAAGCATTGAATTGACTATACCTTAGGACTCTTCAATGGAAACTAGAACCATCACCAACAATTCACACCAAGACTCTCTTGAATGATATTTAATAAATATAGGCCTAAAACGGATATATCAAAACAGTTCTTACTTCTTTTTCTTTTTCTTAATGTGTGATTTGATGTTGGTTTTCTGTACTTCGCTATAGTTTAACATTGAAAGCATCGTTTTCAAATTATTATCTGGTTCTTTGTCCGTTAAAAAGTAGTAAACGGCACTCTTCAAAAGCTCAACTCTAGCCTCTGAATCGCTCTCCAAAGGAAGTGCATGCTCGTAAACTTCAAGACGTCTACTTTCCCTGACTTTTGCTAGCTCCATTTCGGTTTTTTCTAGTTTCTTCAGAAGCATCTTGATGTTTGCACTCTTGGGATCGGCTTGTGCACCGGCTACCAGATCTTCATCGTGCTCTATTGTCATCGCGGCCATACCTTTTTGGTACATTTCTAAATAGCGCTCCTGGTGGAGAGCTTCACGCTCTTCATACTCTTGTTCCATATTGTTTATAACCTTTTCTAGTCGATTAATCTTTTCCTCTCGTTTGCTCAAAGTTTTCTCAGTTTCCTGTAATTTCTGCCTTACTTCTTCTGTCTCCTCTTGAGATTTCTGAAGGGAAAACAGATTTACAATGGGTAACATTTATATTAAGGTGTAAAAATATAAATGTTACCCATTTATATTTATATGTAAAAATATAAATGGGTAACATTTATATTTTTACACCTTAATGTTTATTTTATTATTTCTCACTTTCTTTTAGCTTTTCCTTTACACGTGTCTTCCATCATTCTCATATTAATCATATTATTTAAATATCCATTATTTAACTACCACAGGCCTACATATGATATACATTTATTATTGTGGGCACATCATACTAAAATGTTAAAATACACAATGACTTAAGAAATCAATAATTACAATTGTTATTATTTATAGCAATAAAGTAAATCAGGCAGATGTGCGATGACACGTATTAATTCCATATACAGGATTCATTATATTAAAATAGAAGAGTTCAGATATAACTATAGTAATTAGCATCGATAAGTATAGACATTTCCAATTTTGTTAATATTCAAACAAAGAGTTATAGTAGCCTATATATCAAATGTTAATGATGTTTTGCATTCTTCACAAAACTTTGTTATTTTGAAATTATGGCCCTTTGCCACAAAATTAGACGATGTTGGCTAAATATGATAAAGATGATGACGATGATGATGATGAGGATGATGATGATGATGATGATAAAAACATGTAGGCTACTTTTTTTTAACATGTACTTTAAATTTCTCCTAGAATTTTTATTTTTGTTGTTAAGCGCATTGAGGCTTTAGCATAATGCGCTATATAAGCCAAAATTATTATTACTGTATTATTATTATTATTATTATTATTATTATTATTATTATTATTATTATTATTATTATTATTATTATTATTATTATTATTAAAAACGATGACGGTACATATTGTAATGTGCATATTGAAAAGACAGTAATCAGATAAATTTATTATTGGCTGAAAACAAGTTTAATATTCAAACCTTGAGTGTTTGTTGAACCTCTTTTATTTCTTCGTTTTTATTTTGTTCCATTGCATTAATGCCGTCAATTTTCTGCTGCTCGAAACTTTCGATCAAGAGGTCCTTCTCATCAATTACTTTTTCCAGTGTAACTATATAATGGTGGAGATCTTTCACCTGTCTCTCCTTCTGTTGTAATGGTGTTATATATTTTTCTCCAGCTGCTCCATAAGGATTTGGTTCGAACTTTGTATGTGATCTATCACTGTGAGTCATCACCGAACCAGCCATGCTGGCTTTACTGGTCGCACGTCTTATAGGGGGAGGGGAAGGGTCTTGGGGCATGGACTTTACCCCGAATAGTCTATTAGACTTTGCGAAATCTTTTCGGGCAGACAATGTCTGTTTTGCTTTGACTTGAGCAATTGCCTTTTTGGCCTCCCAAAACTCCCCCGGTTTAAAGTCGCTTTGAGTGTCTGGTATAGGATCAGCAGCTGTTAATGCCACTTTGTTAGCAGATTCATCACCACTACCCGATAATCGTGGAGATACAAGTCTCCTCTTCGGTAAAGTGGACTTCCCTTTGGGCAGATTTGGTGACTTACTATCACCAGCTGGTTTTGGTAAGGAACGCAACAGTGACGACTTGTTTGATCTAGGTGTAAATGGACGACTAGAAGATGATTTATTTGTCTTTGGTTCTTTCGTTTTCGTTTTCTCTGGTACACCTGTAATTTGGTATATTCAGAATAAGATGTATACACAAAGTATACTTACTTATGAATAAATTACCCTGCTAATAAATGACAAATGTGTTCCATACAAATTGTAATATGTAAAATTCTTTAAAATGATAATTCAAATTCAACGGTATCATTAATAAAATAATATTTTTAGATATGTACACATTTTAGCAATTTAGAATAAGTATTAGAAAAAAATGTGACATTTAATGACATACCGTTCATGAGTCTGTGTTGTTTTCCCTCACTCTCAGTAGATACATGTGATCTGCTGTCTTCACTTGTTTCAGAAGGGTTTGTTGCTATTGATGAGGTGTCGACGAATAAATCAACTATTGTTGGCGCTTCATGCGCTGGCTCTTCCGTCACAGATCTGACTGGGGACTGAGGAACTGGTGATTGGGGTACAGGCGACTGAACAGGTGACTTTGGTGTCTCATCATTCACAAGTTGAAGAGCACTTGGTTTTGTATCTCCAGAATCATTTTTTGCGACAGTTGAGTCACTTACCACCTCACCTTCCACTACTTCAGCTTCTTGAATTAATTTTGTTTCAATATCCGTGGCATTTTTCTTTTCGACTGGAATTTCTACGTTTGGTAGATCACCAGTGTGTGGCAGTTCTGTCACATCCATTAGGTCATCAATATTTGTTGTCACGTCGCCATCACCTTCTCCACGTGGTGAGGATGGCTCAATAGAATCGTTGTCAATGTTTGCATTATCAGTCTCACAGTTATTTATACAGTCGTGATTTGCGTTCTGATCTGAAAGCGTTGTAGCCACTTTGGCTAAATCCAACGACGTCGTTCCTTCTAAAGCCTCTACAGACATTTTTTCTAAGCAATGTTGAGATCAAAACGTGCCGCTTATTTTTGTCTCAAAGACTCGAATTTCGTAACATCACCACCAATCTAAAATTAATAAATAATAGGCATGCCATCATAATATATGCGTTATCATTGCGTTAGCCTATAATTGAAACTCATTGTTTATTCTAATTGTAACAAAACAAAAAAACGAGACGCGTATAAAAATTGTGAAATTAAAATCAGAAGCAGTGTTAGAAATACCGTTTCGGATAAGAGGGAAAGAGTTTACTGAAGATAATCGTCCTGATGAAAATTATTCTCACTCATATACAGGTATACGTTTCAATATTTAATCAATTATCTCCACTCAATAAAATAATTGAGTATATTCGATTATCATATAAAATTTGAACAAATCCTGCTACCGGATCACACTTTATAAGGTAGGCCTAGTGCATAAAATCATACCGTAAACACTCTTGCAAAAATTCCAAATAGGGACTAAGTCTACTCTAATCAAAAGGCAAATATCGGACACCACATCTTACTCAGCCATTCACGAACTATGCTACCGATATTATCTTTTCCAAAATCCTAAAATGAATGAAATCTCCCAATTATTACATTCTGATTAAAGAGTGTATTTAGAGGGCGGATCTCCAGAAATTAGCAGCAATGCCCGCCTTAAAATAGCCACGTCACGGCCTCCGATGTTGTGAACTTGAAATTCGTTTAGGCCGTCTAGGGTCGTTTAGGTCTTCATAAATACTGTATTCACTTTCGAAAATCACACTGACAAATGTCAATCAATATGTCAATCAGTCAATCAAAACATAACATTCAATTACGTGGCGGCAGATCCATGAATTAAAAATAGCGGAGGCCCATGGAGGGAATTTAGAATGGACACACTCCTTCGAAGAAGTAGGCCTACGATATTTCTATGGAACTCTGATGGCCGGAAATGGCACTCTCCTTCGAATGTAAATGTCTTTCCCCTAACACTAACACCGCACTTGGATTTACGTAGTAGGCCCTAGTAATAGTAGCAGGTTAGTAGAAGGCCTATTAGTAGGCTAATAATTACTAATATTGTCAGAACACAGTACGGGTCCTCTTATTTATTAAGCAAACAGTTTAATGAGTTAGTCTAGACTTATCGCTAGCAGGAACAGAGAATGAGACAGAATCTGGAGTTATTGGCCATGACAAGTTAGTCAAAGATTCAAAATTGAAGAACATTTTATTGGTTTATTTATGAAATACAAAGAAAATTGTTTATGCTTGGCTGAAAAAAAATGATATTATACGAAAAAATGTGTGAAGTGAGACCACGTGATTGCCATGTTTGCAGTTTGTAAGCTGTTGAATGAACCGCAGTGAACAGGATACTGCACCCTTTCCTCACTCTTGACTTAAGCATATGGATACGTCTACCTTGGGTTTAAAATTACACTCGAAAACAATAAAATATAATAGAAAATACTAAACAGGGAGGAAAATCGCACACTGAGAAGGTCATCAGGTCTAACACCTATAAATAGGAGGCCATGTTTTAGTGTCAAAAGGCAAATCGGCCTATAGGCCTATTAGCAGTTTTTATATGCCAATTTATTGGGATTGGTCCTATAGTTTAGAATCTTTCATTAGGTTTAATCATCATCAGTATCGCCGTCATTGACTATTATTATTATCGTTGGTTGCAATAGGATTGTAGCAGAACATTATACCGGTAGTTTGTAAAATTTGAATATATTTGGGAGAGGATCGTAAACGACTAATGATGATTTCACAATAATCATAATATATAAAAGAACTGATTCATATAGGTTTTACAAATGCGTACTATCAATGGCTATGATTTTTGATAAATCAGTTTACAGTAGGCCCCATATTCAATTTTTAAAAGCAACCTGTAAGAATTGTTAAGCCTACTTTTAGAATATTCAATAAGCAAGCCCTGCTTAAAATCTACTGTGTTCATTGCTGTACAATTGTTTGAGAATACAAAGTCCAATCCGTTCACTTAACAGCTTACGTATAAAATCATTATTACAATTAATTTACGCAACAGGTGTTCAGTCAGAGAATTTCTCTCACAACTAACCCCAATCCTGATATTTGTTAATATACATTAAATATAGCGCATAAAATATTTTATTAAAGTCTGTCCTGCGCTTTACGAGCTTGGCTTACTTTTCAACTTACCTCGTAAAGTTGAGAAGTATGATATTATACCAGTGACAAGAGCTGCCTTCTCGTTGGTAGAAAGTATACACAATCAGAAGATGCCGCTAGGGGTGGACGCTGTTTGCTTTCAGCCTACAACCGAACGCAACTGCACTGGATGCAGTCATCTCTGCACAGCTGTCGGTCGGGGAGCGTGGCGACAAGATCGATTGGAACCATCCATTATCAATCACAGGGAAAAATTAAAACATTTTTAATATCATAACCATTTAAAAATGAACTAATCGAGTGAATGTTAAGGAATAGCAAGAAATAACTGACGTCGCGTTTTCTATGTGTAAGATCTTACACAGTATGACTTGTTGCATTGACATCCAATGGTGTTGGTTGTTAGTACAGATATCATTTTTTATCAATATTAACATTCAAAATCTGTGTTACAATCCTGAAAACCTTCAGTACTCTAAAGAGATACCGGCTGTCATTATATGGAAAAACAGTAAAATTCAAAACATTAAATAGCTCAAAATATATTTATTCAGAATAATACAATAACTAAGCAATTAAATTAATAGCTTCATTCATTAATATGCATAAACTTTGAAAATTCAAAACACTGAACGGCTAAAAATATAATTATTTAGCATACTAAAAATAACTAAGCAATTAAATTAATGTAGTTTATTCTTAAGTTGTTTTTTTTCTTAGCAGATCACAACTGTTATTAAAACATTCTCTGCACTGCTAATGTGATAACATGATGTATAATGTCCAATAGGACAGTTTTGAAACATACGATTATTTTAAGTAATCCTTAAATTCTGGGGCGGATGCAGGATTTGGCTGTAGGGGGTGCGTGGGAGTCCACATCACCTCAGCCCCACCTGGTTGGGGCTGAGACGCAAACATTTTGAAAATATGCACCTCTAGGTCTACACGGAAATCGCACTCTCATACCTTAAAAATCTTACCGGTACTATGTTCATCAACAATACAATACCAACATTTTTCTTAATCAATTTAGAGGGTGCAATCGCACCGTCTGCACACCCACCCCTGCATCCGCCCCAGAAATTGTGCTAAATAATAACAAAAATAATTAGGAAAGGAATAACTAATGTAGTTTTGATCACTAAGCGATTCGTGACTTTCGTGAATATTGTCCTCGTCCGTGTAAGCAACTTTTGTCTTAAAAAACTTTGTTAACATGTATAATATACCAGCCTAATTATTATTGTTTTTACACCCTTTTTTATATTTTACATCCTGATATACAAACTAACAGATGCGCATTTGTGTTTTGCTCGGTGTCCGACCGTAGCAATGCTGACATAAAACTCAGAAATTTCACAGAATAAGTCATAGTGGGGAAATATATATATAGGGCCTACACTGGCCGATACTGTGTAAATTGTACATAGCTAATGTATAAAATACCAAAATATATGATTATCGTATCATAGTTTGAACATTTTTATAACGACTGGTAGAATGCACACTGATGACGTCACAACTATCAGTTTAAAATATCTATCGTGCATGGTACCATTTTCACATTGGCCAAATTTAAAATATGCTGTTAATCAACTTGAATACTAAAATTAAGTGCTCAGTTTTTTTGTCATAGACCTATTTAATTTAAGAATATTATTCAATTAAAAGAACGAGAATACCTAGGCCTATATCATGTTAGCCAACAGACGCATAATATTTGATGACATTAGGCCTATAAACAATATTCACGTGACTCCAACAGCTGCCTCTAGCCATTTAATTGCATAATTTCAAACAATCTGTCATTCTAAACGCCAAATGATTTTTCTGTTGGCCTCATATGCCGACATTTTTTCTCAGCCACGTATTGAGGGAGTTATAAATACAGTACGGGTAATCTTAAGGCCACGTCCAATAGAACCAAATTAATGATAGACATTAGGCCTACACCCATAATTATTGTACTTGGTTGGTTCTACCTTGCATTTGTTTCTTTTTTAATTGGATATTCATTATTTTGTTTAAACATACAATAATATTTACAGTTGATGAAATCATGTTTTATATCTTTCTTTCTTATTAATTGTATTGGTCGAAACTCTTCTTGTGAGTGAAACAATAAATTTTACCTATGTCTGGTAGCTCTGGCACGCATCGAATGTAAATATTACTATTAATTTTTTTTTCCACATTTAACATTTATTTCTGTACCGTATTTACCAAATGTTACCACTAGTTTTATAATAGAGGGCTACAGCCCACTCCCCGTTGGGGAGGTCTTGCCCCCCCCCCCCCGTCGTGGAGAAAAACCAACTTCGTCGGAGGAGAAAGAAAAACATATTACATATTAATTGACTCCAAAATCGATTAAATAAGCCTTTGCAACCCATAAATTGTCATATTTTTGGGGTGTTTCGCCCTCTGGACCAATTCCAAAAGGTTTTTAGTGACGCCCGACCACGCCCACCTTTTTTCTCGTCGGGGAAATCAGCCCCCCCCCCCGTCGGGGAACTTGACACCCCCGTTGGGGAAATCCTGGCGCCGCCACTGAACGTGTCCGACGGAGGGGTCCAAACCAAGGCGACGACGAAGCCTCGGTTGGCGGCTCGGATCAAAAGAATAACTGTTAGGCTCATGTGGAGAGTTTTTATGGCTTAATTTGGGCCTAAATGTGCTTTTAGACCACAATTGGCTATCAAAATAACGTTATTTGGATAGGCAAATTACCAGTTTGTTTAATTTTTGGTCCGACGAGCTAGTCGTTTGTCGGACGACAGGGGGGTCCAGGCCTGTCTGACGGGGGGGGGGGAGTGCCCACCCTTACCCCTCCCGCTGGTGCCACCACTGGTCTGAGAGTGCCATTTTGGGCCATCTAGAGGTGCCATAATCATAATTTTTCCCTCAGTCCCAACAATGGTAGGGCTGAGGTGATATTGACATTCTATTATGAAATTCCTTCCTCAGGCCCCTCTACTTCGAATAGCCTACAGTAAACCTGAGTGCCCCTTTTTTCCTAGACACCCCCTCCTGCAAATGTCTGGACCCGCCCCTGCAGGTAATCTAAATAATAAACAATGTTTGAAAATAAAAAATATAATTGAACTACAATTTTTCTGACTGTTAGGGATCGGAAGTATAGTTGTGTAAACAAGATACGCTAAGCCTGATAACCAATATGTATATGTGATGGTTAAGTTGGCCGACATTTTGATTTTTGATGGCCATCATAAATAAAAATTTGGTTTATTCCATCACTATATTTTTTGGCTAACTGAATATTGTATATGCGTGTGTGCTTCCAGAAACAGTACGATAGGCCTACTCATTAAATTTGTTAAATTTCCTGCATGGAAAAATATGGCTACTGTATTACTCAACAAAGTATTTATCAAATTGCAGTTTTCTAATTTAAATAAATAGTTAGGATAGGCTCATTTTTTCTGTATTTGTACAAAATTTCAACCATGATGTTTTCTGAAAAGATACAAGGACGATATTTTAAAATTAATATTTGAGCTTGAACCTGTATTGTTACTTACGTGTACAATAAATCACTATAGAGCACTAATAAGCAGGATTTTCTATTGCTTTAGGAAAATATTGCTGCCGACTTTATTATCTCTTTAGCCTCCTCTTAATGCAAGGTGCACTTAGTAAAATTATTTTAGGCAAGACAACGTAGGTCAAAAAGAAAACTTACTATGGATACTTGTCATAAAGATAGATGCTCTTAATTATAATTAACAGTTACTCGTTTTTGAATTTTTTTTTAAATTTCAGAAACAAAAAACATTTATTTCTTAATTCAAGTATTCTGGTGTCTTTTTGTCTAAATATTTAATTCAAGCAAAAATATTGTAACAAAAATTATAACATATTTAAATTGTATACATGAGGGGCTAACCTTTTCTTACATTCACAGTGTGACAAATCAATCTATTTAACGTTTTTTTTTTTTTTTTTAACAAGATATGTTTTTTTTAAAACCTTATTCTTTAAAGCCTATTGTACACAGGAAAGGTAACCATTTTTCCCTTTCTTTTTTTCCCTTCCCCTACACACTTTTATACAATGCTTTTGTCAGCACAATATTCTGGAAATTTATCCCATTCTTTGCTGATTGGGATGGGAATTCACATTGAATTAAACCTTCATCTGCTCATAATTTCATTTATATAGCTTTAGACCTTTTAAGTATGGTTTGATTTCGTCCTTGGGGTAAGGTTTTACAGCGAGACATGTAGCATAATTCTCAGGCTGCTCTATCCATAACTTGTAGTCTCTATTCTGTGCGGATAGCTTTTCAGAAATATTCCGCAGTTCATCTTCATCTTTTACCTGAATAAAGAAACAGTAGTAGTAGTTGTATTCTAATGATAAATAAATGCTACAATTTTAAATTTATTCTTTTGCTTTTAATAATAATATTCATATATTTTGGTGTTATAATATTTGTTTCACTTTTTACTTTATATTTTGGGCATCAGTAATCATTATATAATATAGGCCTATATCAAAAACGCAAGTTTACAATTTTGAATTTTTCTACTTACTTCAAGAACAACTTTATGCATATTATCTACATCTGATAAGTACTGCATCACATTAGGGTCCCCATAGAAATGGTGTATAATAGCAGTACATGCATGGCAAGCCTATGATACAAATAAAATTCTTCTTTCAAATTATTCATAGAATAATGTGAAAATAGTTATTTGTCTAAATAAATTTTCAGTGATTAATATATATATTTAATCATTCCTCAATTGTAATCATTAAGAAACGTATCACAGTCTCTCCGGGGGCTTGTGTACTTAAATTCTGAATATGTGAATCATTTAATTTTTTATATACTACTACAATAGATTAGGCCTAGTCCTTGTTGACCTGAACATCTGAATTTTGCATACATCAGTGAAGATTATATCCAGCTAGCTCCCATGTATGAATGTACAATACGATTTGCAGACTTATTGACTATAACAATCCGTTGACAATCACTAGATCAATTTCCTGGCTACGCTTAAACGACTGGGCTTATGCTAGGCCTGCATTTTAATTTGCTCTGATTCAAGAGCGGAGCGGGAGCGCGCTACCCAACACGGACCCATCTTGCAGCAAGTTGAACTTCAATCAAGTAGGCCTAGTAAATACATAATAAATACATTTTCTGTATACCTGAGCAATAACAGCACCAGTTGGCCACTTTAGGTTTCTTAGAAGGTCGCCACGTACAACCACATATTGCACTAGAGATGTCATTACTTATTTTTTACCTGCTGTATTTATGTGGAAAATACCTGAAAGTCACACGTACACACATTATACATGTGCTCACCGCACAGATATCAACAATCTGGAGCGCCCTCAGACGATGCATGCGGCGGTCTCATTCTCAGCGGCGGTAATTTACAAATTTTGTCAAGTAAAGAAAATCCAGAACTACATGAGAAAACACAGAATTTTGGCTAATAATGTGGCCATCACAGGTATGTTTTATTTATAACAATAATTGTGTAATCAGTTATATTTTAGGATTTAAGCTACCTGTTTTTTTTTTAAAGCAAGGCTAGGCCTAGGCCTTCTATTCTAGTCAGTCTTTTTAAAGTTTAAACCTAGGCCTAGTAGTAGTAGTAGTAGTATTTGCCTAGCCTTGGTACTGATGGCACCGTTTCCTTAACGGCACGCGCTGTACTCTAGGCCTAGCTAGGCCTACTCCACTACGACTACTATCTAGGCACACCAGGCGCACTAGGCCTACTCTAACTAAGCAGGGTTATGAGGCCAGAAATGGTGTATGGAGGAAGACCAGCAGTGTAAGTAAGGCTGTGGCACTTACTACTCAACTGTCTGTAAAAAGAATGACTGGTCTGTGTAGTTAGATTGATCAATGTCAATGATGATGCATGTACAACCTACCTGTCATTACAAAAACAAAAGCATTACACACAAAACAAGCGGTTATGGTATGAAACAACACTTTCTGAACCTATTGAAATTCATTCTTGATACTATAATATTTTTAATTTTTAGCATAGCAAACAGGGAGAAATTTAAAAGAAAACAAAAATGGAGCGATCTAGATATCATGCAGGTAAGAATACTGTTGTTTCAATACTTATAATTTTAATGATTTGTTGTTGGTCAAGTTAGTATTCTCCACCATCAGCAACAGTCCTTTTCAGAACCATGTACGTGGTGTACCGCAAGCATTAATATATTATTACTTTGCCATGCAAACCTTCAAAAAGTAGTAATAGTTATTATATGTTTATTTATTAATTTGTATACTGTGGAACCTCGAATTGAAGCCCAATGGGCTTAATCTTGAGAAGAAGCCCATCTCAAAGTGAAGCCTCTCTTTAGTTTGCAAAATTAGCCCATGAGCTTCTTTTCAAGATAGCATAGGCTTCTTTTCAAGGTAGTACAGTACATACCCTGTACATGAATTGAACTAAATGAATTGAAAATAAGCCTTGTTTTAATACAGTAGGCCTAGTTTAGGTGGTTTACTGTAATGTCAGTCAATACACTCCATGATACAGATTGATGTTACAGTGGCCTTATTTATTGTTATATAGTACAAATTCCCAAATTTTATAGCATTCATTTTGAAAAGAAGCCCCCTCTTTACTTTGCAAAAGTACTGTAGCCTCCAAAAAAAGCCCATCTTAAAAAGAAGCCCATCTCGAAAAGAAGCCCATCCAAAGTTTGTAAAAAAAAAGAAAGAAAAACAGGACTTCAATTCAAGGTTTTAAAAAAATAAAATGTTAATTTTTTTAAATATTACAAGTTTTAAACATTTAAAACTATAGTATACAATTAAAAAAAAACTATATGTAGTATTGTGCTAAATTTTAATATATGTCTCAAGCTGAGCATACATGTATAGTAAGATATGCGTGCAGGGTCTAAGCATGCATAATGCAAATTTAAATTGTGTTTATATAGGCCCACTGCATGATCTTCAGAGACTTGAAGATGATGAGAACACTGAAGACACAAGTTGGGAAAAATATAAACTAAAAGAACTTGAGAAAGAAATACAGAACCTGACAAATTTGAGAGATAAACTGACATGGGAACTGGAGGCAGATCCTGGAAAGGTAAGAACTGTGAATTAAATCAACAACTTTCAACTAATTTTACAAGATTCCAAATATCTAAATCAATCAGTCAGTCAAATATTTATTTTTTAATAGCTAACAAATAATAATAGAGACCGTAAGCAATTAATTAAATTATTGATTGCACGATTAAAAAAAGTAGAAAAGCAGCAACACAAAAAAGAACAATATGTGTTAGTCTAAATAACACTATTTAGGTAATAAAAAGGTAGTATTAGTAACATCACATTGTAAAATTAATTATTTCAATCGTATTTCAAGAGTAGGAGTTACAAAAGAAAATATAAACCAATACCTCATCACGCGCCAGTTATGCTAACCTATGCTACAATACAGTATTATATTTGATAACTATATGATCACTTATTGCAGTTACTACAGAGATTATTAAATGGAGACAGAGAGCAGAATGAAAGAGAGTTGGCATCTCTAGGTGCACATCAGGAAGCATGTAATGCCATTACTGCTGCTAAGAAGTCTAAAGTTATGCATACTGTCAATCTATACAGGCTATCTGGTATTTAAAACTTTCATATTCAATTATTTTGTCGCTTGCTATTTGATAGTATAATACATACTACAAGTATCGAAATGCACGCCATCGCTAAAATTTCCTGATGTAAAACTCATAAAATTCACTACACATCGGACTTTAACGTCAGTCTCCGGAGGAAACAGAAATTGATATGTTGTACAACTGATTTGACGTAAACAATGGGTGTTTGATAAAAATCTTGGAAACGGTTAATGAGATTTTTGAATATATATCAACTGGGGAAAAAAGCTCGAAAAAAGGGTGGTTATGCCCATTTTCCCTCCAGTTTTCGCATATTAAAAAAATCTGTATCTCTTTGACTAATAATAATAATAATGTAGTTTTATATAGCGCACAAATCCATCTAATGTAAGATGCTCAGGGCGCTTGAAATGTGGAATAGGAACTTGATCAATGACTTTCTTCGCCCCTAAGGGTCCCTTCATGTCTGTGCTACCTGGTAACCCGGTACCAGCAACTCTCGTCGTCCACCACAGTGGCTGTCTGTTCCAGTACACCGGGGTATTCCCCCTACTCGTCTCGAAGGATGTACTGGGTTCTTTATAGTGCACACGAGCCATTGTATACACTGGGCCTACGGTTTATAGTCCTTATCCAAGAAGACTTGTTCTACCACCAGAACCATAGGCGAGCGTGCCGTTCGAACCAGCGCCGATATTAATGCTATAGCTTGCGGCGCCCCTGCTAACAGCTTCGACTGTTCCCAAGTTTTTGGTCAAACACCATTTTGTGTCTTAGAAAAATCAGTTGTACAAAATATAAAAAAATATTTTTCCTCCAGAGCCTGACTTTAACACACACAGTCATAATTTATGAATAGAGACTATTAATTGTACACTATAGCAAACCCTAATCCATAAATCTGTCATCACCATTTTTAAAACTTAAAGACTTTTTTTCGTCTATGTAATTTCATATATTTTAAATGTTTTTCTTGTCTAGGAACCTCTATACATCAAGTTAAAAAGAATGTTGTCCGTTTGATGTTTGACACCTTCAACAGAGGAAGTTTCTTTGAGACATACTACCTTGAACTTGAAGGATCTAAAAATCTAAAAGTTGGCAGCCATACTTTACCTCACTTTATTCCCATAAAAAGAATCGCAGACCAACATCTGAACGTCAGTTTACAGCTGTTTGCACAGACTCTCATGAATCTGCTGAATGCTTTTGTTGCCCGTAGGCAGTTCATAAGAGACCTGCAGGTAGGATACATTCTGATACTTAAGATTATCTTGTAAGTTGGCTACATGAGGCCTTATCTGCAAGGTTTGTGGGAATTGGTATGTACAGAGGTAATACAATCCATTACTATCTTCTGATAGGCATACAAATAGCACAAGGACTGTATTGCACATGGGATCAACAGCCCATTGACAGCCTGACCATTTCCATTTAAAGATGATGCTTTTTGTGAAGTATTATCTCAGCCATTCGGCTGAAACACAATCAGAGTTATTTTGTCCCTATGTTATATAATTTATTACCGGCTATTCTGACGAAATGCAGCAATAGTAACTAAAAAAAATAAAAAAAATTATAATAATTGTCTATACAGCTTTATCAATTCTGATTTTTATTTTATCCCCTTACATATTTTATCTTTGAAATATTTAAATTTTGTTTGTTCAATACTTTTATGGTAGGTCTTATTAATATATTACATTTTAGGATTAAGAAGAATTTTATATTTGTTGTCACTTTAAAGAGGGCCCTGGATATCAGCTGGCGTGCAGGTTCAGCTTGAAGGGTTACCCTCTTAAAATAAAGTTGAAATAGAAAATAAATAAAAAGAGCAGCAATGGAACAAGGGACCCAATAATAATATCCACGGATAAGCACAATTGTGGGAATATACAGCCAGTCTTTCACACTGGCCCCTGATGAGCATGGAATCCAATTTTAGCATCAGTCAGAACAATAAATGATATGAGGAGATAAGATTATAAACTTTATTGCCCAAAAAAGGAAAACTGATAATGTACACCTCAGATTACTGTGTCTATTGCTGACTATATGTATCATTTTTGCAGACTAACAAAAACTTGCAATTATTACTTCTTTTTTTGTGTTTGTCTTTTTAGAATCACTTCTTAGATCATTTGGAGGAGGAAATTAACTGCAGCCAATCATGCGATTTCTGTTATCTGTCATTAATCGACTTCCCTGGTCTAGAAATACCTCTAAGATTACAGTTGATGTTCTCACTTGATAAGTGCCACCCTGGACAGATCAAAGTGAAGAAACTAAGCAGTAAGTACAGTACTCAATGTGAAGAAAGGTCATTTATATCAATCATGTTATCTGCTCTAACCAGATGTAGGCATATGAAAGGTAGCTAATATCAGTCATGTGATCTGCTCTACCACAATTAAGCATATGAAAGGGAGCTAATATCAGTCATGTGATCTGCTCTACCACAATTAAGCATATGAAAGCGAGCTAATATCAGTCATGTGATCTGCTCTACATATGAAATGGAGCTAATATCAGTCATGTGATCTACTCCACCAAAGTTTAGCATATGAAAGCGAGCTAATATCAGTCATGTGATCTGCTCTACCAAAGTTAAGCATATAAAGCAAGCTACATACAACATTTAACCATATGGAATTGATACAAGGGAAAGCATATCTATGCAAAGTTTTGGAGATTCCCTAAGGGCCTCTTGTAAATTTCCAGAAACCTTTCCCCTACCTGAGTACTTTTTATGATATGCTTTGAGCATGCACTAGGTCTTTTGATCAGAATTTTCAATATAAATATAAAAAATTGACTTATTTTCTTTATAACTGTATTTTTCAGAAAATGACAGGGATCTTACAGAGACTGAAAACCAGATTTTATCAAGTATTACCAAGTCACTATTTGCTGCTCAAATGCCTAAAATTACACCAGTAAACTAGGTGGAGGAGTACAGTAATGGGTATTTGTGGAAGCCATGTGGTGCAGAGATTAGTTGGCTGTTAATAGTAATTCCACACTGTTCACATGGCTTGTGTCCTTGTACAAACAATTTTAAAATTAAATATTAAATTAAAAATAAAATAAAATTAAATAAAAAGAAAAAAAAAAATCATGTGAATGATTTGGAATGAAATTAGTATTGATGAACTACACGCACAACTTTACTCCCCAGAGAATGAAGAAGCTTGCACAGGATATGTTATTGATTGTTTATCCACTGACCAGGGCAAAAGTGCTTTGAGCTTTAAATGGATATATGCACTATATAAATTCTATAAAATAAATAAAATATAATATACAGCTGTAAATAGTTTTGGTTTGTTTGGTTTTTTGTTTTAGTTTGGTTTTTGGTTTTGGCCTTTTCAAAAACCGATGATCAGTCACAACCATTCTTACCATCTGGCTTACATTTCATAGCTTCCATAAATAAGTTTCATATACATGGATAGTTTCAATTGTTAAGAACAATAGTACAGTAATTGTAGCTGATAACAATTTAGCTACAGTTACTGTACTATTGTTAAGAAAAATAGTACAGTAATTGTAGCTAAATTGTTATCAGCCTAGGTTGAATAACTGTATATTTCCACTGTTTAAATTGGATTGTTTACTACAGTATTAATTTCTTTAATTAAATGCTAAACAAGCTCTAATTTGGGTGGTCAACTTATAGGTAGATCATCAATGTCTAAATATTTGTCTATATATTGTAGTTCTCATTATATGTTAATATGCTTAGCTATTAATTAGCTTCATTTCTGTATATCAAGTAAGGCTGCTCTGTGAATGAATAAATACATGCATTAATTGTTATTTTTGATGGTTTAATTCACTTGTAAAACTTATTATTATTAGTCATATACTTTTAATAAAACAAAAAATCATTCTTGGAGAGGAAATAATTGTTTTCATATTTAATTATTTTGACTTTAGAGTACTAACTACATTCTACTTTACATTTTCCAAAGTCCAAGCTCTATAAACTATTTTTGCAAATGCATGACCATACAGTTGTACAAGTCTCTTATTTTTTATTTTTCTCATTCTGGACAGCGCCACCAACGAGAAAGTTAATTTAGAGCAAAAGAAATCGAGTATGGGCGCCAATTAAATTAGGTATGGCGTGCACTAAGTGCAATAAAGAGTGAGTATCCTAAAATTATGGCATGGAACCCAGGCTACTGATTACTGTACAGTAGACCTAATTTGATCATACAGTATCGATAAACTTCAAAACATATGCATTCGATTGTTGGGTCCACAATATTTTGGTCCCTTACCCAGTTAGTACTCCTAGTATTTATTTTTATAACTGTATTCAAAATTATTTCTTCAATTTCTCGTTTTTTTTTTTCTCTTGCTAGTTTTGTGATAAAATAAAAACAATATACAAATATTACAAATTATTCAATGAAACAAGTCACTCTAGTGTGGCTGGATTTGCCACACTATAAATGTGAAACAACTGGAAGTTTTGCAAGAAAAGAAAAGTTGCTGCATATAATTGAATATAACTACAAATTTAACAAACCATAACAATCAAAATTGTTAAAACCAACAAAATAAAAAAATGGAATGATTAGGGAGAACTAAATTTAAATAGGCAAATGGGGAAAAACCCATAAAAGCAGCTAAGCTTAGGCTGGTCCGGAGCTGGTCGAACGTTTCGTTTGGGTCTGTACGCTAGCAGCACTGATGAGGCTTGGAAGGCCGAAACGGATCCGTCTGCAGATTTTGGGATTTCTTTCAGTGGATGCTTAGTTTTTGTCATTCTGATCGGATTTTCTCTACTGTTCCGTTTTAATTTTATATTGTTTTGCATTATGTGGCCGTTTGATTTTTTATGCGTTTTTCCCATTTGCCTATTTAAAAAAATGTAT